TTGGGAACAGAGCACCTCGGTGGCTCACATGGAGTCCCGGGTAGGGTGTGAGACTAGAGTGCTGTTTCAGTAGGACTTTTGACTGAACTGGACATTCTAACTCAGGATCACATCTGTCAGAAGGACCTGCCAGGCCTTCAGAAAACAGTAACAGCAGTCACTAATGCCTGACTATCCAAGATTTCTGACTTCCAGATTGCTGATGGATTACTGCCTAGACACTTAGGGAAGTTTGCAAGTTTGGAATATTAGTTACATCGTATCTGTTATTCTATGTCTTTTTTTTTATTCTTTTGTATATTACAACCTGATTGAAGTTTCCACTCCTTCCCCTTCCCCCAGCCTCCCCTCCCTCAGATCCATGCCCCTTCCATGAACTCTCAGAAAAGAGCAGCCCCCCTCCCTCTGACATCAATCAAACTCAGCCCAAGAAGCTACAATAAGATCAGGCACACACCATCACATCAAGGCTGGGTGAGGCCACCCAGGAGGAGGAAAAGGGTCCTATAAGCAGGCAAAAGAGTCAGCAACTGCCCCTGCTCCCACTGTTAGGAATTACACAAGAATACCAAGCTACTCAGCCATAACAAATATGCAGGGGACCTAGGTCAGACCCCTATAGGCTCCCTGGTCTCTGTTAAGTAAGCCCCTTGAGACCCGGTCAATTGATGCTGTGAGCCATGTTCTCTTGGTGACCCAACCCCTCTGGATCCTCTGACCTTTCCTCCCCCTCCTCCACAGTACTTCCTATTCTTGTTCTGGGTGGGTGTTTCTCATCTCATGGAATGAGGGCACAGGCTCAAAGGTCTGAGAGAGAAGAGGGTTGTGACATGCAGCCAGAATCCAAGCTTTCTGGGCCATCTAGTCCTTGTTGTCCTTTCTTAACCCAGCATTGGAGTATTTGCCTCAAAACAGGGAAGGCAGCGAGACAACACACCTAGCCGGATGCCAGGAGCAGTCACTGAGCTCTAAGGAACCCACAACCTCCCTCCTCCAGGGACCTGAGAAGATATGTGAACAGCTAATGGTCATTACACAAGAGGATGAAGTACCTAGACAAAAAGCCTGTCTCATGGATGGTCTCCTCCTTCTCGTTCTCTGGCCCACGCCGTTGCCTCAGACATTCTGTCCTAACTCCTTCCCAACTGAGCCCTTTCTGCTTCTGTCCCTTACATCAGCTGCTCTCATAGCTGAATAAGCATACGGCATGCCCAATACGGCCTTCATCTCTGACAGGATTCCACAGAGTGAGGCTGAAAGGACAGCAGCTGCGCAGTCTCACAGACCCCGGAATGCTCTTGTGGAAAGGGACCCTCCCACCCAGGAACTCTTTGGCCTCGCATTTGAGGACAATATTTGGTCATTCAGCTGGGTCTAAGCCTTAGGAAAGGCTTGGGCTATCTGCTTCTGTCTTCTTAGAGGACACTGACACTTCTTTCCCAGCAGCTGCAAATATCTCCTCAGTCTTACTATGAATTTTAGTTGCTGTGTATTAGTTGTCCGGAGTTTCTGGTTTTATAAAAACCATTGCTTTCAAACATATCATGCATTTGGCCATATTTAACCCTCGTTAACCTTGTTTCTCCCCCCCTTCATGCCTCTAGTCTCCTTCCCTCCCCAGTCTCCTTCTTTGTTTGTGTAATATACAACCTTCCTTTCTGTCTTATTGTCTGTCCACCAAAAAGAAAAGCTCCCTT